TTTCATCTGAGTTGGCACAGCCATACTACGCGTGTACAATGTGTATAATATTCAAAAAAGGGAGAAAAATGTTTTTTTTTTTTTTCGATCCTCGACGAGGGTGCGTCGTTCTCGCATACGGCACATACATTGTGCGTACATATATATATAATATATTATATAGAAACGGTATCGTCCTGGTGTACGAGTGATCGGGTGGCGGGTGGTGGGAAGGTAGCCCGGATAGGGGTATATATCGCAGCGATTACGGATTTGTCGTCACCCCCGGGGTACATGATGGATCGATGACATGCGGATGATGAGTGAGCTCACACACACGCGCGTCCCGACCTGCAGAGGCTCTTTCCCGGTTGCACTTCGCCGGCCATCCGATGCTAATATCCCGACAAACATCCATCATCGGTTTTCCATTTAAGATTATATACCATTTTTATTTTTTTCCCTCCTCGTCTCCTATCCCCGGGGTTTTTTTCTTTTCTTCGAGATATTGCCTTCGCGATGGGATACACGCAGGACGAAGGATGGACCGGCGGCGGAGAGGGTATTTTTCTCGTGGCCCCGTCCGATTGAATTCAGTGATGCTGGCGGTGGTGGGGTGGTCTTTTCTACGGGTCATTTATTTCATGACCCGTCCAACAATATTCGACCTCCCCTACCCGCATTCATTCCGACCGACTATGGCGTGAGCCCGATTTTATTCGTGTCATCCGACCATACCGTTTTTAGCAGCCGTGGTGACAGTGGTTGTCGGACGGGGGATGGAGGGAAGGGTATTCGAGAAATTCCGTCACATCCGTAAATAATACGCACAGGATCTATGTATAGAGATTGGAAATCTAATTTATCGACGGACCTATCCTGCAGGACGCGATTACTAAGTTTATATTATGTAATATAATATATAGTATATACTCGTATGTAATATATTATATGCATGGGTTGAACACAAAAAAGCATTGCATATATAGTTAAGCTTTTATTTCTGTTTTATATTTTGTCTATAAGTAAAATTGTATGTTTTTATACATTTATCAAAAATCATGATATCCAATAATCAATTACACAATAAAAACACAAATACTAATAATAATTAATTAATAATTTTACAAATATAATTTAAATAATAATTTATTAGATGTATATAATTATAATGTACAGGGTGATTATTTTTTAATGAGCCACTCATTAATGTTACTGAAAATATTTTCAAACGCATAAATACTTTTTGAAATAATGAGATGTTCATGATAAAAGAATCACCTGGTATATTATTAAAAATACAAATACATCATAATGAATAATAACAATTATAATATTTCGTTTGTTTTAATAACACCTCGTCTGTTAATTATTGCTATTTAGATTTTAAACACCGATAAATAATTTTCAATACCTAACATAGATTTTGAGTTGCATATTATTAAATGTAAAATCAGCTGTACTTATATTTAAATCTAATAAACCATTAATGTTATATCATTGGACATTGGTCAGAGTAGAAATCCTCATGTTTCAATAGAAGTAGATAATAATTAGTTTTAAAAATAATGATTTGGGCATTCGTTATAGAGTGCGGTGCCAGTAAAGCTATGTATTAAAGTCTAAGAGGTTAGTTTTTTTTTTTTCATTACCTAGGATTTCACTTCACTCAACTCTATAGTAATTAATAAGAATAAAGGACATTGAAAAAGTAATATATAAAATATAAATCGTATACCTACACCGTGGTATTTCATTTAGTCAGATCAAACCATATACCCTTTGAGCCGACGTTTGTCTGTAGTCAAACAGTTTCTTTTTGTTTTGTATTTATTTTATTTTTTTTCAGTAGTCAGCGAAATTGCTCAAGTATCCGTTTTATTGTCATCCCGTAGTTCTACGCTTTAAGTGGTCTCCAGGTATCCGGCTGGTTTTGTTTCTTTCCGACGGACCGTCTAAATATTAAAGCAATCTTCTGCCAGAGAGATTTCAAAGCTAAATCCACACTGACCTTATACTATATACTGACTCGTCTATATATAATATATATTTATTTTTTAAACTATTATTCACGTTTACTCAATCTATACAACATATAAAATGTACAATAAGCGTATTGGGATTGGAATGATATTGCAGGAGTGAAGAGTGGAAGACTAGTGGTAGATAAAAGTGACTGTTTTTTCTAGAGTATGGGGGTGCAAATAAGAATGTAGAGCTTGGTTTTGAACATAGTAATGAACATTAGTAATAAGATGGATGGTTTTAGATTCTTATATAAAATAACGCGGTAGTGACCGAACGTCCTAGCCCTAATGTACACATGTCGCTATACAACTCCTAGTTCATTATTACTACTATTATTATTATTATATTACAAAAACACGATAATGGTCTGGAGCATCGGTTTGCGAACCCCACACATGCAGTATTTTTTTTTTTTTGTTATTCAATTCCACCGTGAATGCATAATAATAGTATAATAATAATAATAATAGTAATACTATCATACAAATATATAATATAATATAATATAAGCATATGCGCCTGCCGCGCACAATCTCGGTGACATACGACCTATTATTATGGTAAAGATGTCGGATAAAAATAAAATAAAAAATGTAAAGACGATAGCGGTCCATATGTCGAAGTGCAGAAAATATCGGATTCGCAAACGCTCAGACACTGCGAGATTGCTCGCGCGTACTGCTGCAGATGATATCATCGCGTGGCAACGCGTTTTATACAACGCACACTGCAGACCGTTATATAGGATAAAATATTGATGTCTCCATTATATTATCGGTCGTGTGTCGAACCCATTGTCCGGCGTCATGGATTAAAGGCCTTATACTTTTATTTTTATATATGTGTGTGTGTGTGTGTGTGTGTGTGTGTGTGTGTGTGTGTGTGTGTGTGTGTGTGTGTGTTTGTGTGTATAATAAAGAAAACGTATAAAATATATAAAATATATATATTACTTTTTTTTTTTTACACAGATACGGTCTTCCTTTTTTTCACAGTATACGTATGTACTACGCAAGAGGCGCATGACTGTGTCCTTTCTAGATCGGCCACAGATATCCTTGTGTCCTCCTCCCCTTGACAGTTCAGGTAATAATAAACGCTCGTGGATCGCTATCGAAGACTAATCTGATCCTAAGGGTGTTTTTAGTCGCCAGCAAATGCACTCCAAACATACAATAATGTGCGTCAGCAACATTTTTCACAGTTCTTGAGAGACCATAAAACCCCTGAGTCCTCTGTAAACATTTTTTATTGAATTTAAGTACTAAATTGGAAAATCAGTAGGTATTCAATATCATTATTTGTGAAGGCTTATGGCCGAAATGGGTAATATTGGAATTTCAGAATACCTGCAGTATAAATTATGTAATTGTATTAGTAAAATATTGTATATTATACTCTTAATCTATTCATAAAATACACGGAATAACAGGCGCCTATAATGTATAGATTTTTCTGTGTAGCATTTCAATTTCGTACATTTCAGAGGGAATTGGACGCAGATTATTTATTTTACCAACAACAAAAATATGCACTTTAATGGATTAAAAATGAATAGTTAAAAGCCCGTTTGTGAAATATTATTTTAAAATAATCAATTACCGATATTGTGTTTTAATATACATTTGTTTGTTCATCTGTTTATTTTACATTCTTTATGGACTATGGTAATGGATGTTTAGCCATTCAATTATTGTATTCTATTTAATATATATTTAATATCGTCGTTAATATATTATCATTGTAATTGAATTGCTATTATTAATGTTTTCTTAGTATCTTGGTTTTTTCGATTTAACCAAAAATAAACATTAACAAAATTGTTAACATTATAAGCATGTTGTTAAAAAGATAATTGGAACAAAAAATATCTTAATTGGATTTATGTAGGTATTTGTAAGTGTTTAACACTATAATATCCATTAAAATATATTATAATAATAGGTTGTTGAACAATAAAGCCCAATACATACTAGTATAACATTATAATATAGAGTACGAATCGAAATATCAAATTAATACTGAATAATAATTTACTATTTTATCATCTTATCGTAGCAAACAATTATTATTATTATTAGTCAATATTAACAATTATGAGGAATGTCTGGTTTCGTATTGTTCATCGGATTCAAACGTTAGAATAATAATTATTACAAGACGTATTGCGCAAAGCTAATAATACTATATTAATTTAATAATCAATGTACCAACAGAATCTACCTACGTCTCTCGTTTTTATTTATATCACACATATATTTTTGTGTTTTTTTTTTTAATTTTGCTGAGTATGCTCTTAACAATCCAAATCACATTCTTTGGTTTTTTTTACCGTACTTTTGAATACCTATTTATCGCCGCAGGTCAAATCTGTACAACCTCCCCCCGAGAGCGTTGTCCAGACACGCACTTGGGATTCGATTTTTGATTTTTCCGTCTTGCAGCAAGACATCGTGTCGTCAGCATCGTAGCCACTGCCCCTCCCCCTACCCCTACCGCCAAACACATCGCCGAACCAGCCAGGCAGCCCTGCCCTGACCGTTTCACTTGTCTTCACCCCAGTACAAAACGGGAGACGGTTTTTACGAGTGGGCACGACAAGAAGAGAGGGACCCGCGCGCACTCTCGCGCACCGCATCGCATTATTATTATTATTATTACTAACGTTCTCACCGCCGAAACCAGTGCCGCCGCCGTCCGCTGGTCCCGGCGCGTATATCCAGTCAGTTAGTTCAACGTCGCCCTGCCGCGAGCACCGTCCGTTCGAGTTCGTCCGTCGGCCGTCGTGGTTTCCGAAATCAAATTTCGTTTCGGGGTTTCGTGTTTTTTTTTTTTTTAATTTCTTCTCCTCGAATAGTAATACGTCTTTACGTTATCGCCGTTTGCGTTTCGTATTCTCGTTGAAATAACTGTAATATCATCGTCTCGCGTGCGTATCGTGCTATGTTCACTGTAGTTACTGTTGATCTAAACCACCGTGATTGATGAAAAGCATGATACTTGGATATCCACCGTATGGTAAGCGATCTTTGGTTGTTGTTTTCGTTTCTAAAAAAAAAATCATTGTCGTTTTTACATATTATATTACTATCGACGTTTTAACGATCTCCGTTATAAATCCGTTTTACTTTTATCGACCAGCGTGTGAATATATTATAATAGTTTTGTCAAGTCGAAACGCCTAGTGTGTACTTCGTGTGAGTGATACGGTTGAGCTTTGCCAGCTGAGAAATAGGGTCAATATTTATATGTTACCTTTTTTTTTTTGGTACACATCAATAAGAAACTCGGAAGAATAAAATATCATGTTTTATAGATGTGCGAGATTTATATCAATTTTGAATGTACAATATTATACATACATGCATTTCTATCAACGATTGCCCAACGGGACGTAAAATCGAGTTATAGATAAAATCGATCTCTGGGGATTTAAATCCCTAGCTTCATTAAATCAAAAAGGGGAGAAAAAGTCGTAAGTTGGAAAATCTAATTCATATAATATTTCTATTGAAATTGCAATTTAAATATTTTATATCATATTCCTAATCTCAATAATATTATAATGCGTTTTAAAAGTTTAATAAAATATTTTTAAAAAATTTTTGGCATGCCAGACCTATATTATATTATATTTTAACTAATTTAACTATTTTGATAAAACAATATTTTTTATTGAGGTATTTATTTTGTTTGTTTAGACTTTGTCACATTAGTGATTATTGATACTTATTGATACCTCCTAACCTTAGGAACAATAATATGTCTTCTTGTGCTAACACACAACTATAATAATAAAAAATAACAATAGTACATAATAACTTAATAATCACCTAGTTTTAGTTCAGGTTCCGTTATTTGACGTAAGAAACATTCTAGTATATTATGTATATTGATACAAGCATTATAGGTAGTGTACAAAAAATGGAATCAAAGAATAAATATTGAATGAATGTGTGTGTACTGTGTATGTGGAGTCGTGCGTTTCGAGGTAGACCTAAACGGGAAGAGCCATTAATTGACCGCATTGTACGGTTGACTGTAAATCATCTAACAATAAAAACAAAATAAAAACCATTAAGCTTAGAAGAGTAAAAAAACCAACACATGGCAATATTATTATTTTATAATTCAGAAATTAAGGTATAGTTATAGGTATTAGGTACGATAATATCTATACTGTTATAGTGCTATACAAACCAAAGCCATTGACGACGATTACGATCGCCGCACGTCTCCGTGCAAGAGTAGGATTTTACCGGAGATTGACGGCTCCGATCAAAGGATTTGTTATTTATTTTGGTTTATTTTTTTTATGATTGAAACACCCTGTATGTAAAAAAACAAAATAAACCTATGTGTATAATAAGAAGAATGTGGTTTTCGGCAGGGTGCAGGCGGGGGAGTATTTGATAATATTTTCGACCTGACAATGGGTGCCCCGGAGCTTCGGATGATACTGATATTTTTGTATTCTTTTGTTTTACAGGTAAGTGTTCAGATTAACAAGCGCATTGTCTGTGCTATAATGTAATATACAAACACGTCGTAACACAATGGTGGCCGATAAGATGAGACGGCCGGCGACACTGGTCGACGACCGAGTGTCAGGCCGTCAAACATTGTTACGTCCGTCACCGCTGTAAAATACGACGACGATGGTCACAGCTGATCGGATGACTCCCGGGCGAAAACTAATAGAAGACAATGGACCGTGTGCATAATAATAATGACGATAATAATAATAATTATTATTATTATTGTCAGTATATCATTGCTAACAGGGACGTGAGGGTACCGTGGGAAATTTTCAACGGACAATGGTCGGCTGTCAATTAAAAAAAAAACAACGAAATTTCTCGCAAAGCACAGTAGTAGTATTAGTATCTAGTCGTAGGAATAGTAGTATAGAATTAGAAGAAGTAGTAGTAGTTGGATTTAAATTTTCGTGCAAGGTCGAATTCTATATTCAGAGATATTTGTAAAGCGCCGATGGCCAATCCGGTTTTGAACTTTGTGCTACACAACCATATGGTTTGCATCAAGACATCGTGAGATTTCGCCTAATGTGCGTTTCTCGCTAAATTGTACAGTTTATCGTAGGTAAGATTCGAAATATATTATATATATATATATATAATATATACACAATTTTTGTGTTAAAATATTCGGATTTATTTTTATATAGTTTTATTTCCGGCCAAACTAGTTCGTTGAAGATACATATAGAAGATAATATATAGTTAGATACTTACATATTTTATTTAAGTTATCGTAATTGGCCAAGTTTACTATGAATTATTTTTAATAATAATATAAATAAATTTAAAAATAATATGCAATTGATAATAAACATTGAACATGCCAATAGTTATTCTAAACTTATTAAAAAATATTAATTGAAGAATTTTTTGAAAACTTATTTTATTACGGCTGCAAAAGGGTAGATATCATTTCTTTATACCTATTGTATTGGTAACGAAACTACAATTTTCATTTGTAATAATTCAAGCGAAAAAATTACAATGATTTTCAATTATTTTGGGCATTCATAAGAATGGTAATAGGTATAGTAAAAAGGACAATCGTTTAAAAGTGATAACGGTTGATCGAATATCATTAGATTTTAAATCCGATTAGAAATGTCTATGGCCAATATGTGTTGAATGAGGGTTGTAATCCTACTCAAACTATTCTTACACGACGGAGACTGAGCGTAAATCCAAAATATTTCTTAAAAAATCCAGGTAGGTAGGCGTTTGATCTTTTTTTTCTACACGAACCTTAATAAATCGTAAATATCCGTAAAAATGCCCGTCCCATCGGTGCGTGGTGCACAATGTCAAATCCATTGAATCGTAAAAGTATCTACATTATATTACCATTTGAACATGTTGTGTGTCATTTTTATCATTTTGCATGTTATGATTGAAATATGAGCAAAATTAATTATGGAGGTAACGCGGTCTCGCGGGATATACTAAATATCACAACCAAGCGTATAATTCAATTAGCCAAATTTTGTACTTTATCAATAATGTTCGCATTATTCATAACGCAATTATAGTTCATTCGGAATACGGTATACTGTATAAATATAATACTCGGGTAATAAACATTTCTGCCAAGTATTTCTCTCTGAAAAAAGACTCAAAATGTAACAACGTAATATAATATTATAATATTGTACAATTTGCACAAACCGTCCTAAGCCGTTCAAATATATTGTTTTGTTTTCACTCGATAATAATCATTATTGATCTTATATAGGAAAATATACGGCAAAATACCCTTCTCCTATTATAGTGCGTGTAATATTTTTCGTTTTCATTTCTCTCGCCCGTTCAATACAATACGAATACCGCGGATATTTTTACGATCCCGACATTAAAAACAATACATAATATTTTCACTACGTACGTGCCCGTTCGGTTCCACCACGATTTATGGTCGTTTACTATATAATAATATTATAGTGTCGTATTCCGTTTTAAACACCCGGTCGCCTGCCAATCGTTTCAGTTCAATTGCCTCGGAATGCTGCTCATCCGCATACGCAGCTCGAGGGCAAACGGCGTATCGTATAGGTTGATTTTTTCCGTACCTCCCCCTTTCTGCAGCCCCCGCGCCTTGTCGTCCACCCTCGAAAAAGGGTTTGCATCTGCATATTATACGGATTTTTTTTTTTCGTTTCGTTTTGTTTTGGCAAATTATACCTTCGGGGAGGTACGTATAATATGTGATGTCATATATGGTGTTTTTATTTTTATCTGTCCACGGTAATTACACGCTGTCTGCTCGAAACCAGACATCCAGATACGGTTGGCCGCGGAAACAAAGCTAATTCGTTAGGAATCCCTTCAGCGGCGCGTTGTGTATTAAAATCATTATTATTATTATTATTTATAGCACTAAATGCACGGGGGTAAACATTACCGGGATTAGTGAGTACGTGCGTGGAAAGAGGGGATATATGGTTACACCATACTCCGGCGGAAAGAAAAAAAAACCGACTTGTATTTAATGGCACTTAATGTCGTGCAGCTGTAGTTCCGATTAAACGAGAGAAATATATTCTTATACCACGACGCACGTGAACTCGTATCTGTTATGTATAGTTGATTGATTGATATTCGAAACGGTGACTACCGGTGTCCAACACATGGCTGTTGTGTGTGTGTTTTTTTTCGTCTTACCGGTGGTAAAAACAATAACGTCTGTTATACCACGCTGGTATTGTATGTTATTTGAAATCATCAAAGCCACCGATTTGTATCGAGATGATTGAGATCCAAGGTCGTTCGACAATGAATAATCTCTCTTCGGCCGAAAACATGATATTTTAATTATTTTATTCATACGCGGTTTTGTTTATATTAGACACAATATCTAGCAGGAACAGAACATAACAATATTATAGCAGAAAGGTCGCGGCTCAATGATAATCAACAACGAAAGTATTATTTACAACATACCTTAGACGGTAAACATTTAAATATTACGCGAGTTTTAACATGCTACAAAAGTATTTTCTACACTTGGTTTTAGTAACTTTTCGTCGACAGCCAGTGTAATATATTATACCAACATGGTTAGCTTATTGTATACTTAGGTCGTTTGGTTAATATTAATGTGTACAAGTTTTAAAAATTAATTTTGTTCCATAACTACGTAATCGTGTAAAATGACATAATAATATTAATAACTCATGTCAGATATTTATTTATATGAATACCTGCAAAATAATCTTTTTAAAATTTTATTTTTATTTTATTTAAGCCGTGTCGTAATTTATTGTTTATTTCAACGAATTAAATAATAATACTGAACGATCATATTTGTGTTATAATGTACAAGTAAATATTTTTTATACTCTACGGAGTAAAATTACTGAGGTTGAAAAACTCGTTAGTCGTTACCAAAACGTTTGTACGTATTCATTAGCAACGGAGGTTGTAAATGACTCATTTCACGTCACCCCTCCCCCCCAACCACTCGTCATCTTTTAGAGTACATGA